ATGGAGGCGGGCTGCCTGGCGTGGTGGAGCCCCGGAGCCGCTGGGTACCGCGGCACGGGGAGCTCCTCGCTCTCCGGCAGAATGAGAGAATCGACGTAGTAGCTAGTCAGTGTTCCGGACGTCGACATGGCAGAGAAATTATCCTTTTTACATGCACGCAGTCATACAGCTGATACATACAGCAAAAGTGCAACACACACATACACACATGCGCACACAACTCTTAAAAAAGCACACACATACACACACGCAGTAAAGCCAGCCTTACAAAATAACAATGTGGAGAAATCAAGTAGCAACTTGGCCCCACGGAGAACTACAGTGGGAAAGTAATGGGGAGCCACGCCGCCGCGCCATTGGGCAGCACGGTCACGTGATCATAAGGCTGAACAATAAAAGATAAATCAATCCCTGCAGTCATTAAATACTCACCCGCTCAGCTATTATAACCCCGACTTTTATACGAATGAGCAAAATTAAGGCAAAATCTCTACGAGAAGGAAGAAATCTGAATGATGGAGGCAAAGATTAAAAAAAAAAATCTCTTTATAGTGAGCCCTGCTGCTACTGGTTTCCCTCTCTGCATTCAAAACGATGCAATATGTATCTGGAAGCCTAATTTTACGAGATACTTTATTGGACACGTAAGCACCCTGCCACTGCTGCTCGCCAAAACACATTTCAGAAACACACAGGAAGTTTGAAGCTCCAAGATCTGCAATCATAAATTAACAGCAAACACATTAAATACGTTCTGTTTTTATTTTGATCTCTGCTGTCGGATTAATTCAAATGAGCACTTTTTCCTCCCACCCTGTTGGAGATTCATATATTATTGGGCATTTAAAGCTAAATTATGATTTGTTACATCAGCGAAGTTACAAATAAGTTGAAAGAAAAACATGGAGGCAGCAGCAGCGATTTGCTTTTATTTAGCCTCCATAAACACTCCTCGGTGACATACAGGATTTGACAATTTAATATTATTTATAAATTTGCGTTGCAAAATACACCCGGATGTTAAATTAGGTTTTCTAATTAAAAAGGTTATAATGAATCTGAGATGAGTGGAAAAGCAAATCGAGGTTCAAATGAGTTTACTTTATTAATCTTTACTGTTATTTCAGGCAAATGATTAAAAAGAAAGGTTTGATTTATTTATTTGTTTCAGGAAATTGACTGTATTTTTGTTTCGTGCTGAGCAGGACATTTTTTAAACTGCTTTCTTGAGTTTATTTTAATTGTTTTCATAATTGCCACCGTTTTAAACGTCACTGTAAATATTTTGTTTATTGAAAGTTGATTTCAAATTTTATAAAAAAGATCATTTTGTGTTCGAACTTTGCCAAAATGCAGGCTTTTAAAGCGTCGGGTTGCAAAAATAAGCAAAAAGTCAATAAAAAATAATTCAGTATAGCCTTTATTGATAGATTTAATTTGAGGATTTAAAAGAATACATTAAATTCTGTAAAACAAAGAAAAAATTTATGAACGTATCCAAGACTTGACTCGAATGCAACTAATTCGCTATTTTTTTGTTTCCAAACGAAGTCCAACACCACACATCTCACTTTGCTGTATACGTCGAGCTGTTTATTATTTGCACCACATTATCACCCACATATCTGCTGTGTGTTTCATCGCCTCCATGAACAAATGCGCTGCTGAAAGCTGCCAGCAACCTGAGCCTCCGCGCAACTTTACGCACAATCGGCGCTAAAAATAACCTTAACCTGGGGTTTGTGATTTCATCTCTTAAAATCCGCGTCTGTGGGGTGGACAAAAACACAGCACGATTTAACTACTTTGAATAAAATAAACTGTATTGTTGCTTAGGCAAAAAGTACTGTCTTTCTTAAAAATAATATTTTGTGTTCGATAATATATTGGAAAACTCGCCAAATGCGCAAATATAAACAGGAGTTACATTATTTAAACTGCACAGATGGCTGAAGATATAATCTGGATTATAATTTAAACCAGAGATTGACCAAACAAATGTAACTAACAAGATTTTTTTTACATATTATCGGCGGGTGGGGAAATGGAATAAAAAATGTGTGGGTTTTTACGCATGCGTGCGTGTGTGCTCTGCAACATATTCTAAACCTGATATCGCTAGTGTGGTTTTCAAAGCAGCAACCTTGAGTTTTCTCATATTACTTTGGTGTTTTATTTATTGCCAGCAAATAAAAGACACGCTGGCCCACACCAATGCAAGGCCACAGGGAATTCGTGACGCACGCACAGATTTTCTGCATTCTGCAGGTCCCTTTGCATTTAAATAAGAATGGCAAGAAAGAAAATTGTGCATTCTCGTTGCCTGTCACCTCACTGGTTGCACATTATTTGACCAGCAGACATTAGACATCAAACAAGCCGAGGAGGGCAGGTTAAAAGGAGCGGCTGTGCTCCTATTTGTGCACTAAACCCCAAACAAGAATAGACAAACACCTTAGGAGCAGGAAAAGACGCCAACAGCTCTCAGGCTGTAAACCTAAATCATGGTGTCTTTTTCACCCTGCAGTTTACCGCAGGGGCTATTCGCTTTTCTTCTTCTTCTTCTGCAGATAACAGCCTGTCTGGAGGATCTAAATATCGCCATAAAGCCCTTCCCTCCCTTTTGTTTTGAGCCTCCATGGCGCAGCGGCAGCATCCGGTTGTCACTGCCCGCGGAGGTCGCTGTTGCCCCATTCACCTTCCCCTTCCCCTCCACTGCAGTGGTCGTAACCGAGGCCTTGTCTGGCGTGTCTGCGTCACTACTATACACGGAAAAATACACTCCCCACTTCTTCTTTTTCTTTGTAACCCCCCCATACAACTCCAAGTACACGTCTAGCACTGCGCCTGAGCTCTGGTCGGCTGCGTATCCAGCGCACAAAACATATTTTGAGGCAACAAAAGAAGCAATAAAGGAATCTGAAGAAAGCTGATTGAGCACAGAGACATGCAGCCACTCACCCCTCCCTGTTTTATTACCTAGAGAGAGAGAGGGAGGTTAGTAACGTGCGTCCAAACACCTATTTTCAAACAAATCTCAACATCCCCGTGTCTCTGGGTCGCTTTGGTCTCGATGGTTGGAACTGGGGCAATTAAGACAGTTTCATGTTGCAGAGTTAGAAATGCACCCCAACAACATGAAACTACCTAAACCACACGACAGTCGATCCAGGGAAAGGAGGGAGGGGGGATTCGGGGGGCCCTCTAGTGAGAAACACAAACCAGCCAAATCCTAACGCGCCGTGGTCGCTTCCGTTCTCGTGTGTCCAAAGAATGACAGGATGGATGACAAGTCGCCTTTTTACGCACGACGGTGAAAACCGCTGCAACAAAGGCGCAAAGAAAAAAAATGTATGAACAGATACACAAAGATGGCTGGACTCACCAGATCCTCGGGGTGTGAGTGTTTTCCAGGCTGCAGCAGAAAGCGTGTTATCCACATGGTGAGCGGGTTTGAGCAGTTCACATTTCTAAGCTGTGAGCCGGGCCTCCTCTCCGTCCGAAAGGCGCACTCACGACTGAAGCTGCTGCTTCGAGGAGAGGGAGAAACCTCATATAGCAGCCAGTCATAAAACTCTACAATAGCCGGCTGGGCATGCAGCAGGACGGCTTATAGCCTTAATATCTTAATTATTTCCGACCAGTCAGTGCGTGAGGCTTCATACAAAGGCTGATGTTTCAGACAAACAGGATGTGGACCTCATGGGAACATATTTTGAGCTTTATTTCCAACAGCGAGCCGTGTTTAAATAAATGATGGCACAAAAATAAAAGAAAATACAGGCAGCTACTCTTCAGTGCGAGCTGATAATTTATTAGGCATTACACAAAAACACAATATTTATATTTATATATATACAGAGAAATATACATTCAAATAATCCTCCTTCACTGCACGCTTCTTGTTTTCCCTGTGCGTGACGAAAATTACAAATTATAAGTTTCTCCATTAGATTAGCTCCCAATAAATGTTGGACTACTTTTTTCTTTTTTTAATTTGAGGTGTTGTGTTCAGATTTGGAGAACACTCTGTGTCCTGCGGAGCAAATTAACATTTGGCTAAATTTAGACAGATTGGAGTATTTTGAGACACCTCGAGTGTGTATGTGTATGTGTGTGTGTGTGTGTGTGTGTGTGTGTGTGTGTGTGGTAGAGAAAGTGTGTGTGTTGTTGTTGGACTGCACTGATTTAACGACACCATCCAGTCATACAAGAGATGTAACCACACTACAGGAACACGACATCTGAAAACAGAACATGGAGTCAGTTTCTTAGATTCTCTCTGGAGATGCGCCATGACGCGCGTCTGGAAATGGAAAAAAAAAGGTCACTGCACCTCACGGTGAGTGCAGAGAAAATGGTGAGGATGGGAGGGGTGGACAGAAAGGTGGGTGTCGACAATTACACCCATTCTTTCTTTAATTATCATTCTTGTTTCTTCACATGTTCTTTGTGCTCAATCACGAAAATCCGTAGTTGGACGTGAGCTCCCGGATCCTGTTCTCCCTCGTCATTTTCTTCAGTTTCATCCTGCGGTTCTGGAACCAGATCTTAACCTGTCTGTCCGTCAGGTGCACGCTCTTACTGATCTCTAGGCGGCGCTCTCGGGTCAGGTACATGTTGAAGAGGAACTCCTTCTCCAGCTCCAGTGTCTGGTGCTTGGTGTAGGGACAGCGTTTCTTTCGGCCGCTTTTTGCCGTCAGCCAGTTGGCCGTGTTTTCACTTTTTGTGTCTCCTGAAAAAATGTCAGACACATGGGGGGGGGGGGGGGGGGGGGTGGGGAGGAGACGGGGGGGGGGGGGGGGGGTGGGGGGGGGGGGTGGGGGGGGGGTTACGCAGTGCAACATGAGGGGATGGGATGTGAGAGGAGACAAATGAAGACAAGGAGCAGCAAACAACGTGTACGTTATAGTGGAGATAGCAGGAAACCCTTGGACAAACATAGTTTTGTTATATTCATGTCCATTTAATCCATTTATGGGTATATGTAAATTAAGATGGACGTGATGTAGTTTAAATGAGACCTGGAATAAAATATATTTTAAAACATATACTGAAAGGGTATTTTTGTCTTGTGTGTGTGTGTGTGTGGTGTGTTGTGTGTTGGTATCTTGTACGTAGAACATAACTTTTATTTTACATAATTTCTTAAACAACACATACAATGTCTTACATTTAACTCTGGACATTGAAATGGCAAGTGTGGCAGCATCACAAATAACCTAAT